GAAGAAATAGTTTCATATATTGAAGAAATAGTTTCATATATTGAAGAAACAGTTTCATATATTGAAGAAATAGTTTCATATATGGAAGAATAGTTTCATATATGGAATAATAGTTTCATATATGGAATAATAGTTTCATATATATAATAATAGCTTCATATATATAATAATAGTTTCATATATATAATAATAGTTTCATATATGGAAGAATCAACGACAAATATTATCTCGCCCTACCTTTCAACACAAGTGTATGACTGGGTGAGGGATCAATACTCTGTATCGTCTGCTCGTCCTGAGAATTTGACTTTAAAGAGAAGTGGAAGAACTCTGTGAGCTGCACCCTGATCGAGCACTCAGAGGAGAGCCACTGACCTCTTCTCTGGATAAAATTGTGCGTACTGTGAAAGGTGATTATCCTGCCAGTCACAGGAAACAATAAATATATTGCTGCAGTTTTCAACCTCTTACATGTGTGAGCAAGTTTTTTATTATCATTATTTAACCCGTATCGAGAGCAAAGCCAGAAATACTTTCCTTTGAGTTGAAAACGTGTCGCCTAAAGTTCGACCCTAAACTAAGTAATTGTGTACTAAAAGACAATCAAGAGTTTCACGTTAGAGAAGCCAATTTCAAGATCTACATTGACTTAAAAAATTATATTTCCTTGACTCACATATTAGATCATATTGTCTTGATTTATTTTATGTTTTTTGTCCACATTGTCAATGTTTACTTTTGTGTTAACACACATGCTTGATTTGTTATTGTTAATAAATATATATTTCTGAGATTAATAAGTATTTTATAAAATAATTTTATGCAAGGGGACCTGACAGCTGAGTGAACATCGCTCGGGGTTCGTAATCCTAAGGTTCCGCGGGTTCGATACCCAGTGGAGGCGGAAACAAATGGGCAGAGTTTCTTTCACCCTGATGCCCCTGTCCACATAACAGTAAATACGTACCTGGGAGTTAGACAGCTGCTACGGGCTGCTTCCTGGAGGTGTGTGTAACAAAAAGGAGGCCTGGTCGAGAACCGGGCCGCGGGGACGCTAAGCCCCGAAATCATCTCAAGATAACCTCAAGAAGGGTTTGTCGAGACATGCCAGTTATTTGAAGGCTTCCATCAGGGTCAAAAGGGTGAGAGTGCTGCCCCCTAGCGTGTTTAGTGAGGGTGATAATATATTTTCTCAGCGAAGAGGAAGAGGAAGAGGGGGGGGGGAGAGTGAGAGGGGGGGGGGGAGAGTGAGGGGGGGGGGAGAGTGAGGGGGGGGGGGGAGAGTGAGAGGGGGGGGGAGAGTGAGAGGGGGGGGGGAGTGGAGGGTGAGAGTGAGAGGGGGGGGGGAGTGAGAGCAGGGACGATACAACTGTCCAAGGGGATAGGGACGTGTGTCTCAAGGGGCAAGTAGGGGTGAATGAGGGGGGGGGGGAGAGAAACGGGTGCAGCCGGGTATCCCTTTTAGGCATACAGGGTGTCCCAGAATGTGTTTTTATTTCTATGAAATCACCCCTGACCCCCGCGCGCTTCTTCAGCCACAGTGGCTTGGGCGAGGTGGACCTGACCCCTGACCCCCGCGCGCTTCTCCAGCCACAGTGGCTTGGGCGAGGTGGACCTGACCCCTGACCCCCGCGCGCTTCTCCAGCCAAAGTGGCTTGGGCGAGGTGGACCTGACCCCTGACCCCCGCGCGCGCAGGACTATGGCCACCCTGGAGGTCTGTGGAATGACGGGTATTCATAAAAACAAAAGATTATCGCCGAAGGATCAATAGTTTAGCTGAACTGAGAGTACGGTGGTGTAGGACATGACACACCTGACATGACACACCTGACATGACACACCTGACATGACACACCTGACATGACACACCTGACATGACACACCTGACATGACACACCTGACATGACACACCTGACATGACACACCTGACATGACACACCTGACATGACACACCTGACATGACACACCTGACATGACACACCTGACATGACACCTGACATGCTAAAACAACATTTCCGTAACGCTGAGGTTACATGTGAAATATTCAGCCATACTGAAGGACCTCGGGTTGACGGTTCTCAACAACAAGTTGACTTTTGACTTATAAATCTGTATTTGTATCAAAATTAAGTAAACAAAAATGAAACTGTAGGTTTTTTATTAATAGATTTATCCGATTTCATAGAAATATATAGCTCATTCTGGGACACACGTGTAAATATACACGGAATGTCTGAAGTTTGAGGGAAGCGGTGGGGGAAGAAGGTGGTGTGATACATGAAGGTGTGTTATATAAAACTATGGTATCACTTGGTCCCTCTCAGTGACCCTTGACACAGCTGTATGTCCCTTGACTTCACCTCCTTGACCCCCTGACACAGCCGTCTGCCACTTGACTTCACCTCCTTGACCCTTGACACAGCCGTATGTCCATTGACCCTTCACTGAACTCTGACCGCCATTACCCCATTTTATCCCCTTTGAACCCTCACTGACCCATCACCCAGCGGTGTGTCCCTTGACCCATCACCCAGTTTTATGTCCTGAGGGCCTTCATGGCCTGAATTAATTAATAAGAAGAACACAGCGTAAAGTAAAGGGAGCTTCACTTTGTTTAACTAATTCAAAAGAGACGAAGCATCCTGGTGCAGGATTCTATGCTGTAGTTGAAGACTAGTCTTTCCTACAGTAAGTTTCCACATTAATTTATTGATTGATTTTTAAACTTCATCACAACATAATATTTTCATTGACTTCTTCATATTGTAATTAAGATTAACTGAAAATTAAGTATTTATGTTATCTATTCAACATGTTATGTAGACAATCGTTGTCTTAACCGATGCTCACTATAATAATGTTTGATGGTATAACGCAGTATTAACCTGTCTACGGGTCTCGTAATGTATTTACATCTACTTGTCTACTGGTCTAGTTATTTATTTACATCTATAAATCGATCCAAATATTGAGCCCGTCTTCACTGCAAATCCATTACCAAGAGTAACCACACCCACTTTCTAACCACCTGGATAGTTATCTAGATATTTGTGATGATCTAAAAGTATATTACGTTCCAGTGAGTCTATATGTAAGCTAACAAATGAACCTTTGTCACAAATAGAAATTAATTCTCAAGTTATAACGTTATTGTTTTTTTTAAATCATTGTTTAATATATAAAAAAGTGTATGCTCAAAACGCTTTCTTTGAAGAATTTGGTTTTCTGTAAACGGTATTCCTGGAATGCTGAAATAGTTTACCAATTCCATATTTCACACAAATATCAATAATATACCGTATTAACATAAGCAAATGCAATGAAAGCTAATCTAACTTAACCTAATCATGGAGAGAGAGTAGACAATAACACTAATTATGTAGTTGCTCCCAATCCATTCCCTTGCGCTGATCCCTGAGGACAGTTTGAAATATTAACCATTTAAGTTCAAAAATCGTTCTCAACTAACATTTGTAGCGAAGTGAGTTGGCGGGTCGGAGACACCTATCTTGTCCAGGATATTTCTGGCCGGTCAGTGTCAGAGGCCAGAGTGTTCCAGTGTTGTCAAGTGATGGCAGTAGGGAGCATGCTGTTGTCGTCCACTTGGTTCTTCAGCTCTCCGAGTGTGTTAGGAGGAAGGAAAGGTGTTCTGTCACTTGTCTTCACACCAACTCAACGACACAATGCAGCACACTACAACCAGACCCGCAGCCTTCGTGTGTTGTCAGCTGAGTAATTCTGGCGGGAACAGAAGCGCGCGCGTGATACTTCACCAGCTGCAGGAGGGAAGCGGCCAGCTGGTCGCCCCCCAGGCCTGTTCCTGCCCTTAGCTGCAGTAGGGGAGCGGCCAGCTGGTCGCCCAGGCCAACTCCTGCCCTCAGCTACAGTAGGGGAGCGGCCAGCTGGTCGCCCAGGCCAGCTTCTGCCCTCAGGTACAGTAGGGGAGCGGCCAGCTGGTCGCCCAGGCCAGCTCCTGCCCTCAGGTACAGTAGGGGAGCGGCCAGCTGGTCGCCCAGGCCAGCTCCTGCCCTCAGGTACAGTAGGGGAGCGGCCAGCTGGTCGCCCAGGCCAGCTCCTGCCCTCAGCTACAGTAGGGGAGCGGCCAGCTGGTCGCCCAGGCCAGCTCCTGCCCTCAGGTACAGTAGGGGAGCGGCCAGCTGGTCGCCCAGGCCAGCTCCTGCCCTCAGCTACAGTAAGGAAGCGGCCAGCTGGTCGCCCCCCAGGCCTGTTCCTGCCCTTAGCTGCAGTAGGGGAGCGGCCAGCTGGTTGCCCCCCAGGCTTGTTCCTGCCCTCAGCTACAGTAGGGGAGCGGCCAGCTGGTCGCCCCCCAGGCCTGTTCCTGCCCTTAGCTGCAGTAGGGGAGCGGCCAGCTGGTCGCCCCCCAGGCCTGTTCCTGCCCTCAGCTACAGTAGGGGAGCGGCCAGCTGATCGCCCAGGCCAGCTCCTGCCCTCAGCTACAGTAGGGGAGCGGCCAGCTCGTCGCCCAGGCCGGCTCCTGCCCTCAGCTACAGTAGCGGGAGCCCGGCCAGCTCCTGCCCTCTGCTACAGTAGGGGAGCGGCCAGATGGGCCAGCTCCTGCCCTCTGCTACAGTAGGGGAGCGGCCAGCTGGTCGCCCAGGCCGGCTCCTGCCCTCAGCTACAGTAGGGGAGCGGCCAGATGGTCGACCAGGCCAGCTCCTGCCCTCAGCTACAGTAGGGGAGCGGCCAGATGGTCGCCCAGGCCAGCTCCTGCCCTCTGCTACAGTAGGGGAGCGGCCAGATGGTCGTCCAGGCCAGCTCCTGCCCTCAGCTACAGTAGGGGAGCGGCCAGCTGGTCGCCCAGGCCGGCTCCTGCCCTCAGCTACAGTAGGGGAGCGGCCAGATGGTCGCCCAGGCCGGCTCCTGCCCTCAGCTACAGTAGGGGAGCGGCCAGCTGGTCGCCCAGGCCGGCTCCTGCCCTCATCCGGGTTATCACTCCAATTTATTGTATTCCTAATTTTATGAATGATTTTAATTTCAGCAACGATGTGTCGTATTAATATTTAACTTTTATATTTTTTACTATACAAAACTGCACGATGTTTTATATATAAATAATATCCAGCCTGTGGCAGCCTAGGCTGTCCAAAAGCCTCATTATCAAGACAACACGCAATTCAATAGATATTAACCAGAAAATCATTCTGTTACTGATTTTGTTAATTAGAAGTAAATCACTGAAATACAATGATTGAAACAAGACATTATCAAGCTAATAAACTTGCTAGATCATGGAATTGTGCCATTGGTCTCGTACAGTCTTGAGGCCTAAATAATAACTAGATTATGTAATGTAAATAACTAGATTATTTAAATAATAATAGACACATTTTCCGCACCACCTGTGTGACCTCTGACCTCCCCCCCCCCCACCTGTGTTCCGCTGACTCCCCCCCCCACCTGTGTGACCTCTGACCTCCCCCCCCCACCTGTGTGACCTCTGACCTCCCCCCCCACCTGTGTGACCTCTGACCTCCCCCCAGCCATGCGGAAGGTGGAGACGGGGAGGTTCTACGGCAGCAAGAGTGTGAAGGAGGCGGACGACGGCCAGGACGACAACACGGCGCTCTCTGCTCTCCTCACCCTCGTAGATGCTGACGGTAATGTTGTAACCGTTACAACGGTACTGTTGCAACCGTTACAACGGTAATGTTGCAACCGTTACAACGGTAATGTTGCAACCGTTACAACGGTAATGTTGCAACCGTTACAACGGTAATGTTGTAACCGTTACAACGGTAATGTTGTAACCGTTACAACGGTAATGTTGTAACACTATAATTGTGTTTTTGATTATTTTAAATACAGCGAGAATGTCACACACGTGATGGTTTGTGTGTGTTGTTTGGTCAACGTTTTTCAGCCACGTTATTGTGACTCGTGATCTGTATATGAGTGGGATTGGGTGGTTATAATTAGGAGCTGTCTCGTGTGGGCCAATGGGCCTTCTGCGGTTGCCTTTATTTCTATGTTCTTATGATATTGGAGGCGCCAGATAGTGGCCCTATAATTATTTTAGAGTCACGCCTTTCAGGTGTTAATTGTGACACGCTGCCTTCAGGTCAGGTCGCGTGAAGTGACCTTGCTTTCTGCTAAGCTGATAATTGCTGCCGGGTGGCTGTGTCTTTCCATAAAACAAGCCGCTGTCTAGGTGGGGTAGATAGATAGACAAAGACCATCTCCTGGAAGGCGGAGCTTAACTCCCGGTTCTCCCGTATATACCAGTGGAACTGTACATTTGGAACATTGGGGAGGACAGCGAGATATAGACCGCTACTTGTGAGAGGCCAGCAGCCAGACCAGGGGCCAGATTCACGAAGCTGTTACGCAAGTATTTACGAACGTGTACATCTTTCCTCAATTTTTGACGGCTTTGGTTACATTTATTAAACAGATTAAAAGCATGAAAACTTCCCAATCAACTGTTGTTATTGATATAAACAGCCTCCTGGTGCTTCGGAGCTCATTAACTGTTTAATGATTATAAACAAAGCCGCCAAAGACTGAGAAAATTTTATGTACAGGTTCGTAAGTGCTTGCGTAAATGCTTCATGAATCTGGCCCCAGGCCTGTCTTAGGCCGGGTGGGACTCTCAGCCGTCGCCCTCCCTCCTCTCTATCAAATTTAGTCTCAGAGTCTGAGTCTCTGACTCACTTGAGTCAGTGAACCAGAAACATGACGTATATTGTGATTTTCAACTTGTCGGTGTTGTGTGATTCTCAAGGGCAGTCAGCCGTAGTGCTTTCAGTTTCTTGTGTGGTGACTCAAATTGTGTATTAATTAATGTTGACATTTAATATCAAATGATATGGTTGAATTATGATATATATTTCCTATCAGATCTTCAATCATATGGATAATTGATTAACTTACTTTTTAAATTGCCTTTAATTGTGATCCCTAGATCTTGGATTTTTTTATGATATATTGCAAGCTAGAGTGGAGCTAGAGTGGAGCTAGAGTGGAGCTAGAGTAGAGCCACTCTGAAGTTTACTGGCTTAAGATTATGACAAAGAGTCTTGGTTATAAGAGTACTTGCTTACAGTTGATACATGATAACATCAGATAATATTGTTGTGCACACAAGTTCCATTCCTTGTCTTATAAATAACTAACTTGAATGGATGGTGGCAACAACCTTCTACTATTCTAGCACTTTTACTTTCTATTCTCTTCTTTCCTTGATCTCATTTTCTCCCTCTCATTCTAAACTTCCCCTTTCTCCTGACCACTCTTCCTCACTACTCCCTTACGCCTCTCTACCTCCCTCACCTGAGTTTCTTCATTCTTTATTTGTTTTCCTTTCATTCTCCATACGTTTACAATGTGCCTAGTGTGGGTGTGATGTGGCGTGAGTGTGGGGTGTGGTGTGAGTGTGGCGTGAGTGTGGTGTGTGGGTGTGGTGTGGCATGAGTGTGGGGTGTGGTGTGGGTGTGAGTGTGGGGTGTGGTGTGGTGTGGCGTGAGTGTGGGGGTGTGGGTGTGGTGTGGCGTGAGTGTGGGGTGTGGGTGTGGTGTGGCATGAGTGTGGGGTGTGGTGTGGTGTGAGTGTGGGGTGTGGTGTGGTGTGGCGTGAGTGTGGGGTGTGGTGTGGTGTGGCGTGAGTGTGGGGTGTGGGTGTGGTGTGGCATGAGTGTGGGGTGTGGTGTGGTGTGGCGTGAGTGTGGGGTGTGGTGTGGTGTGGCGTGAGTGTGGGGTGTGGGTGTGGTGTGGCGTGAGTGTGGGGTGTGGGTGTGGTGTGGCGTGAGTGTGGGGTGTGGTGTGGTGTGGCGTGAGTGTGGGGTGTGAGTGTGGTGTGGCGTGAGTGTGGGGTGTGGGTGTGGTGTGGCGTGAGTGTGGGGTGTGGTGTGGTGTCGCGTGAGTGTGGGGTGTGAGTGTGTGGTGGCGTGAGTGTGGGGTGTGGTGTGGCGTGAGTGTGGGGTGTGGTGTGGCGTGAGTGTGGGGTGTGGTGTGGTGTGGCGTGAGTGTGGGGTGTGGTGTGGTGTGGCGTGAGTGTGGGGTGTGGTGTCGTGTGGCGTGAGTGTGGGGTGTGGTGTCGTGTGGCGTCAGTGTGGGGTGTGGTGTGGTGGGGTGTGGTGTGGTGTGGCGTGAGTGTGGGGTGTGGTGTGGTGTGGCGTGAGTGTGGGGTGTGGTGTGGCGTGAGTGTGGGGTGTGGTTGTGGTGTGGCGTGAGTGTGGGGTGTGGTGTCGTGTGGCGTGAGTGTGGGGTGTGGTGTGGTGTGGCGTGAGTGGGGGTGTGTGTGTGTGTGTGGTGTGAGTGTGGATGTGGTGTCGTGTGGCGTGAGTGTGGGGTGTGGTGTGGTGTGGCGTGAGTGTGGGGTGTGGGTGTGGTGTGGCGTGAGTGTGGGGTGTGGTGTGGTGTGAGTGTGGGGTGTGGTGTGGTGTGGCGTGAGTGTGGGGTGTGGGTGTGGTGTGGTGTGAGTGTGGGGTGTGGTGGGGTGTGGTGTGAGTGTGGGGTGTGGTGTCGTGTGGCGTGAGTGTGGGGTGTGGTGTCGTGTGGTGTGAGTGTGGGGTGTGGTGTCGTGTGGCGTGGATGTGGTGTGTTGCTATGGTGTGGGGGTTGCTATAGCACAGGTGTGGTATGGCTACAGTGATGGTGAGGCTGTGGTAGAGTGGATACTGAATAGACATGTTGCAGATCTGTCCGTAGTGTGGACAGATATGGTAGGAGCATGAAGTTCTGTAGACATGGCGTGGATGTGTTCTTGTGTATGACCACAGCATGTAGTGTATGACTGTGTATTAATTAACACGCACATGGTATCTCAAGTATCTCCCGTAATGAACACAATACATCAGTTCCTTGTTGTTGAAGAACACGGCGCCCTAATACAAGACTCTGGCGGCATACTTTATCTAATAAGGTACTGACTGACTTAACAGGCAAAATACACCTAAGTGACTGTTTTGCCGAGATATTCCTGCGCGGCCCCTAAGCCTCTGGCTGGCCCACTAAGTGTTGCTTGTTTCTGTTTTACTTGTGCGGAGTATGAGTATTTATGAGTCGTATGGTCGCTTTACTAAGATTTTGTCCCATGTGTTTAAAACTTCTTCTGCCCTGTTGAATCTAAGTTGAAATTTTAATGGGTTTGTAACTGTGCACTGTGTTAGATAATGTTCCAGTGGTCTGTTGGGCATTTCTCCTCAGTGCTGACATCTCTCATCTTCCGGAACCTGTAAGCCTATTTCCCATGCACATGGGTATCCTTGAGGTAATTCTTCAAAAATCATATAAAGTCCACGAGAGCAAAAAGACCACTAGTGAAATTGACAGGAACCCCAATTTTCTCCCCATACCACATCACGAACAAAAATTATATATTGCAGTGGGTACTTTGCTCAAGGCTGATGGAACTTTCATAGATGACAGCAAAGAACTGAGTAAAATACTGAGGATATAAACGATTTTCTATTTTCAGTTGACCCTCTGTACACACCGACGAGTGATAATCCAAACGATCTCTTCATGACTGTAGCACCAGCAGTGACTCATATATCAGACGTCACCCTAACCCCGCTGGACTTTAAAGCAGCCATACGCAAGACGCCCACATTCCCGGAATTTCATATTCATCAGCAATTGCCAAAAAACACAATCGAAGACGCTTAACATCGCTTGGAGACGGAGCCCAACTGCTGGTGTTATCCTGAGACCGTTAAAACGGCCGAGATGGCTCCAGGAGTTGTGTGGTGGTGGCCAGGTGGCGCGCCACACCCTGTGTGGTGGTGGTCAGGTCGCGCGCCACACCCTGTGTTGTGGTGGTGGTGGTCAGGTCGCGCGCCACACCCTGTGTGGTGGTGGTCAGGTCGCGCGCCACACCCTGTGTGGTGGTGGTCAGGTCGCGCGCCACACCCTGCTCCACTATAGTGACTGCACCATACATTCCTTGCAATGCTTCCTTTCAAATGCATTATTTCTGCTTCCTTTGTCTGAGCCTTTATGGTTTCCGTCAGTTAACCAGGTACTCGTTCACTCGTATACAGTTTCTCACTGCGGTGTTGCCTCTTT